CGCCGCACAGCTGGAGCGTATAACGAGCTGGCGGGGTCTCAGCGGTCCCGGCAGCTGCGGGGGGAGAAAGAGGAGCGAGGCTGATGGGGGAGGGTCCCCGAGGCGGCCGTGCCCCCTCCGGGAGAGAGGAGCTGAGGCTGGGGGCTGCAGCCGGGCCCAGCAGACCCCCACCCAGGGGACCCCGGTGTCTGTCACTGGTCCTTATTCCGCCTCTCTGGCCCTCCCAGTCACCGACCGCCTGCCTGCGGTGGCTGGTAAGGGGAGCCAGAAGCCCTTATTACTGCCTAATTTTCCACTTTTGTCGCCGCAATGGCCGGTGACATTTGCTCCCTTCCACTTTTTTTATGGCTGAAAAGCCCGAGGCACTAAGGGTGTGGATGGAGGGTGCCCGGCTCTGCTGGTGCCCGCTCAGTGCAGAGCGAGGCCATCGCCAGCACAAATCACACCCCGATTTCTGCTCGCCCAGACCAGTTACTGTCTGAAGCCTTGTGGAGGTCCTAGCTCTGGCAAACCAGTTTTGGGGCACATCGGTCCAGAAGGCTGGTAGCCAACTGGCCAATACAGCACTGGTCACTGCAGAGCAGGCAGCTGCGTGGGGATGGGCTGCTGCAGACCCGGTGAGGACCTGTGGCACAGGGAAAAGTGGAGGGAACCGAGCAAACTCCAGACAGCCATGAATCAATCTCCTTGTGATGCCCTGCTTCCCACCCTGTGCTGGCGCGTGTCCCATGTGCTGGAGCCCAAGGATGCCCTCTGCAGCTCTCAACTCCCTCCACAGTCCCCCACAGCTTTCTCCGCAGCCACCAGTTCCAGGCCGGCCCCCCCTCGGTGACTGCAGGGTCCATCTCCTCTCCCCACTCCCAGTTTCCAATCCAGGACATTTGGGTTGCCAGCGTGAAACGCCGTCTAATCTGCCCTCTAATCCCGCAGCCTGGCCGTGTGCGGCTGCATGGGGGGCCTGAGCTGCTGCGGATCCCCCCCGGCTGGGGCTCAGGGCTGGGGGCTGGGGCTTTGCACTCGCCTGGGGGCCCAGGCGGGTCGGGGGCTTCCCTTACATCTGCCACCACTTCATAACAAATGAAGCTCCTCAACAAAGGTCCCTTTGTGCCCCGCAGCTCTCTCCTGCCAGGCTCCCAGTGCCAGCACCCAGGGACCCAGCACACACACACGGGACGGGGCAACCCCTGCCCCGACGGCCCCGATG